TTTTAATAAACAGTGGTTACATCCAGGGGCGATTCTAGGATTTTCATATATATATATATATATATATATATATATATATGTGTGTGTGTGTGTGTGTGTGTGTGACGTCGTGTCAAAAAAGTTACTTTTAAATTTGAAAGTAACCCGCCAGCAGGTGGCAGCAAGTTGTCAGTGAATGGTCAGCATCAGTGAATGGACCACTGAATCATTGACTCAAATTATTAATTAAAAAATACGAATCATTCAGTAGCCTAACGAAACACCGCTGACGCTGTGTGTTGCTCAGAGATGCGCGACAGTTCTGCTGCTAAGTTTGTTTGGAACTATTTTCGTTAAACAAATCGAGCAAAAACAGTCACATTGACATTATTGTACTAAAATGTATGCCCTAAGTCACTTAATATTAACTACTCGTTTGAAGTCTTGTTTAAAATCAATGTCGAATTTACAATCGTACTGATTTTCGGGGAAAACTGCACTCTCTTAGTCGTGTCATGTTAATTAATTAGGCTAGGATTTATGTAATAAATATAAAAAGTACATTTTTTTACCGCAGTATGTTTCTTCTGTGTGCAGTTGTGTTCATTTGTTTAGATTTCTCCAGGAGATTGTCTCACGTGAGTCTCAACTGCCGCGACCTTGTTACTATTGATTATCCATTATGAATTGCCGTTTACACCAAGTGTAATAAAATCAGAATCATTCTCGCCGAAATTTTGGTGCTTCCCTAATTCGATGTTTTAATTAGATTAGATTAGTTGTCCGGTCGGATACACACAACGTCACTGATGCTGTGCACCGGAAAATACCAGAAAATAGAATCCAATACAAGGTGTTAATGTCGGTGTACTAAGCACTGCACAATCAGGCTCCTGAGTATATAAAGGACATGATGTTTCCTTACTAATCTCAACGTCATCTGCACTCTTCTCAGAACTGTTCCATGGTCTCGTTTAAGGCGTAATGGAGATAGAGCAGTTGCGGCTCCCACACTCTGGAATGCTTTGCCGCTTTTCATTGAGTCTTGGTCAACTATGGACATTTTTAAAAGGAACTTAAAGACTTATTTATTTTATTGTACGATTTATATTGGTGTCATGCTGTGTTGGTTTGTAAGTTGTATGTTATTTTTTGGAGTTTTAATGATTTATAAAGTGCTTTATACATAAAAGTTGAGTTAAAACTGGTTACAAATTAAGAATTTGTTTCCTCGTTTTAATAAATAGTGGTTACAAATTAAGAACCCCTTCCCTTGTTTTAGTGGTCACAAATTAAGAATTTGTTCCCTATGTTTTAGTAAATCGTGACCACAAAGTAATTCTTAATTTTTAGGATCTGTAGCCATGAAAAATCTATTTTTGTCCCCATGACACCCAAGCAACCACAATGCAACATGGTAAAACATTCAGAACACTTTAGCAACGTCCTGGCATCTATCACAACAGTGTGTCAGTGAGTTATGCACAGGTAAGACCTAGTCTATATTTTACTGTCTAGCTGCAAGGATCCATTTAAGGTTTTTTAGTCATATAATACTGAAGCACAACAGCACATCCTACCTTCCGCTGTATTCCAGTCCAGCAGCTGCATCACATTTTTATGATACGCCAGCTTTCTCATAATAGACACCTCATTTTCCATCTGCTTTGAGGTGATACCTGCAAACAACAGCAGATCTGAACAACTGCTGGATCGTTATGGAGACATTCACACATTTTGGTAAATGTATTTAATTAACAGAAATGCTTTTGCGTGTCATTTTCTACCTTCTTTTCCAATTTTGCAAGTGACCAGTGAATGGCCTCTACATGTGCCCCTCATTATCCTTGCTTTGTAGAAGACTCCTTCTCGACCTGCCTTTATGAGCTGAATAAGGTTTAGGTCTGCCTTTGTGAACCGAGGAACCTGAAGATAATTTCAAGTTACATTAAGCATTGTTTAAGTAAGTCTATCACATTTCATACTTATGCCTTTTATATGCATTTATAAAACTCATCAACAAATGTTTAATTTATTGAGTAAATTTTTTTTAAAAGAAATAAATATGTAGTAAACCTGTAGTGGAGGCTTCCATGGAAATCTTATGGATTTAGTTGGTTGTCTCTGTAATGGGCTCTCTGTAGTATGGTCGGGCAGTTCAGGAATATTCAGGACATTGGGAGATGGAGGTGGAGAATCTTGGGAAGGAACCTGGGGGACAGACGGCCTCTTTTGCCTTAGCTCCCATATGACCTTCTTCATTGACCGATACCTGAGGAGAGAAACAGAAACTAAAATTAATAAATTATTATTAAAAGATGAAAAGGCTGAACCACTGCTTTAGATCCTCATTACTTTAAGTCAAGGTCATTAAGTTCTTATAAAATATAACAAATATAATACACTGAATGTCTAGAAACTTGTACAGAAAGGACGTTACTGTTGTACTTTTCGAACCATTTGTTTGTTCATTAAATTATTATTGAAAATGGCATAAACATTTTGTATAAATGTATGAAACTAGAGGCAACACACATTCTTATTTTTTATTTGTCATTGACCCAAGTAAGCACTGCATACCTAGCGACGGTCCTCTTGGAAAGTCATGTTTTTACTTACTGCTCTGTGATTCGGGGCATCTGTGTAGCATCCTCCTCCTGGACACTGCTGTCCGACCACAGTCCACACACCTCACCCTCTTAAACCTCTCCCGTTCTCTCAGTTTGGCCTCCGACAATATCAGCCTCCGTTTTATCACCTCTGCCTCTCGTTTGCCTCGATCCATCTGCTCCAAGAAGCTCTCCTCCACTAACCTGGTGATCTCGTACATGGTGGTCTTGAGGACAGTTTCCATGACCGCAGACAGCCGAGTCTGGAAGGAGAGGACCAGCGTGTCCGTCATCCTGTGTCCGATCTACTCGAGCTCGCTCTTATCGAGATAAACGGATTGCTGAATGATCATGACATTTAATGACCGCCCATGTTGATTTATACCTCAAATATTTTATTTTCTATTGAGTACTCATTTCACGAGCGATTATTTTGGAAACTTAATTTCACGGTAAATGTTGCACTTCACACTTTCACGGCAAGTCAATCAAACCCCGATGATAAAATCCTCAGTGTTAGTTAGCATCGAGCTCATTACATCTGCCTGACAGTATGAACCGCGAGCAGAAATAAACGTGCTTTTGGCGCGAGTAGCTGTAGCACAATGTCTAGATGACTGTAGTACATACTATCTAGTTTATTTTGTGAATGTGTGAATCACTAGATGTTTGACTAATGCATCATTCAGCGCGTCAGGACGAAGCGCAGCTGAGCAGACGGACAATGATGTTGTTGTGGGTGACGTCACGGGATGTACGGTGGCCTTGTTGGACAGTACGGTAATCCGACAGGACTTTTTACCCGCTTCAGAGAAACAGAAACTATATTATATATATATATATATATATATATATATATATGTATATTAATTACAAGTTTAAATAAATATTAAGAATTATTAATTAGATAAAAATTTGAGTTTGTTTAAATTCTTAAAAAAATGTTTTTGTTAAATATATAAATGTTAAAATATACTTGTTTAGGCAAAGGCATCCAAGTACAACCATGAAGAAAACGGTAACGGCGTAGATGCAGATTAAAATGATGTGTCCGAAATCAAGTTCTGTAAAGGAAGAAAAAGTAGTTTTATGTGATGGCTATCAAAGTGAAATAAACTACAGTCTGTTTTCATATAGGCACATGCAATATAACTCTACTGTAAGTTTGTATAATTTATTCAGTTTAATTTGAAACATAAAATGTTGAAGCATGCATACGTGTTACATCATTTGATAAAAGCAGATATATATAGCCATCGAGAAGAAAAGCTTACTGGACTGGTTTGTATCAGATGAACTGTCATTTGCCATAATGACACCAATAGCATCACATGTTGTTTAAAAATCTGAGCGAGATGTTTCATCAGAACTGAAAGAGAAAAAGTTATTATTTAAAGACAAATTCAAATTGCATTTTTTCAAAAATACTATACGCCATATACCTTAATTGTCAACCAGGCGACGTCTCCTTAATTGTTTAAATGCGAGACCTGAAAAGCAAATGTGTTAAAGATGTTTCGTCACCTTGTAGAAAAGACAGTAAAAATAACAGGTCCCCAGGCTGAACTCATCATGCAATGCACACCATTGTCTAACCTTCATCTGCATGAGACAATACTGTGCGAGCATGCATGAAGACCACTGAGGCTAAGGTGCTCTTCAGAACAATAAGCCACAATTCTTCAGCGTCTGTGGTTTAGAGAAGAATTCTATAAGTAGCACAGCATGCAAGTCAACGCACTTCCTGACTACAGCATGCTAGTCTCCAAATATATAAAGTGTGAAATACTGCGCGACCCACAGTGTGCAAAAAGGTCTTTAGACGATTCTCAGTAGCTTAATTTGTATATTTCATTCAAGGGAAATACTCTTGCTGGAAAATATTGCGTCAGGCAAGTGGAAGGGTCCTACAGATGGTTAGTTTAAATGTCAAATGTGGCTTGAATTCAAGGAAGTAGGTCTGATTGATGGCACTGGACTCTATAGAGCCCTACAGAGGAAGGTGTGTGGTTTCCTCTTTGCTGCTGAAGGAAACACCTCGCACCATTCGCCAGCAAATAAACACAGATGAGAAGAACGTGCATTTGGCTGCATTTAATTTGTTTCTTGAATAATTGTTACAGATCAACAGCATCACTCCATATACAACTACAAGTACATTTGTACAGTTAATTTTCAAATACATAATTTCCATTGGCGTATTTACAAAACTTTTATGTACATTAGTCAGTGCAATGTCAATTTTATTCTTTAAACAACACTTTACAAAATAGAGTTCATTAAATTAATACATCTCTAGCAGTTCATAAAAATTAATTTAACAAAATTAGGACTAACGACATGGACAAAGACACACATCAGTAGTTGATTGCACTACTTGAAAAGAGATATATTTGCCATTTTAATAAATTATCCCTGTATAAAAACAGGAGAAAAAAAATATGTGGATGTTTAAAACATGTTCGTGGTTTCAAAAACGCTTGTTACTGTAATTGTAATTGCTCAAACAGCCAATTATAATTGGAGAATGGTGATATTATATTTTGATTTTGGATATCTATTTTTATTTTAACATTAAATGCCTAAAAAATCTTTACAGTCCATATATCATATTTGCATTACTCATTATGATGATTAACAATTGACTTACAGTAATACAGCTGTGTTTATTTCACAAACATTTCTTTTTTTGACAGGGATAAACCTTTCTTTGATGGCAAACATTTAGTTTAAATATCCATGACACAGAAATCTGAAAAGTACAGCAGCAAAATGGATGTTTGCGAATGATTCCCGGCGATTTCCAAGGGTTTAACGCCTCCTCACAGGAGGAGCTCATTCAGTTGATGAGTTGCTGAAAAATAAGAGCCGTTCAATATTTCATACATCTTTTCACAGTGGTAATTAAGGTGAGCTCTCTTATCAAGAGTCACTGAAGAAATGCTACTAATAACCTGGAACCCCCAGGTTTAGAACGTTCAGCAGTTTACTGAGAATGCTGTTCTCTAAAAGCAAAGGTTGTGAAATATTCCTCCGTGCTAATACTGTTCACACAACAGACCTCTTACGCTCTCGTCTAACAGTATACAATGCTTTCCGCACATTATGTACATGACCAGTTGAACACTTTGGCTTGGACATGGTGAGAAAACATTGTTTGGATATGTATCTGATTGCCGTTTTTAGTCTCTGCGGTCAACAGTATTTTGCGAAGCAGGAAAACGTGTAAAAAGCTGTGCATTTGTTGAGAGGACGTGGTTTGATCAGACTGCTGAGACTAAAGCTGTAAGCGAATGCGTTTAGGCAAAGTGAACTACTGCATTAAAAAAAATCATTGATAAAAACAAATGTATAAAAAAAAATGTAAAAGAAAAAAAGAGATACATTTACTCTTCTAAAGAGAAACGAAGCCTGAAAGTAACCATCTTAAAACTAAAATCAACAAAAATAGCATGTGCATAATTTGGCAGCGGAGGAGTGGGAAGATATTTTATTAATTGGTAGAAACATTTTTTTTTATTAAATAAAATAAGCAACTTTTTTTGAAAAGTGAATTTTGGATATAAAGTAGAAGTAATTTTAATCTGCCCTCAGATGATATAATACTGTCACTGATTTTCTATGAACAGTTGGCCAACTGCAAAATATGTGAGGTAGTGTATGGAACTTACTGAAGAAAAAAAAATCAACTATGAGAAAACTAAGCCAACAAAAGCTTTAGAGAAAACTATAATTTATACCAATGCCATCTTCACCATCAATTTCCTAATTGAAACAATCTGCCAATTAGCATTCTAAATATTATCAATACAGAAGCATAAGCTCTTGTTACGTGATTTTTGGATTCACCTGTGTGGGCTGGCATGTGAAAGAGCAGTTTTGTCTGTCTGATAATGGTGATTTCAAGGGATTGGCTAACAGTTATTTGTTTGCTTGGCAACAATCACATGATCGCTACAGTTCTCTCTGATTCACTCGTTTGCCCTCTCCCTGGTGTATCTGAAGTGTCAGGTACCTCTATTCTGAAAGCGCAGTCAGCGGCGGTGTTGTGCCTGTCAGCTAACTGATATTTTGTGCTTTCACAAATGATGGTCCTCTGGGGCGGCGCTGCATTTCAGTTCTCATTGCACTGGCGTACTGACAGACCCCCCTAGTGTCTTTGATGTGGAAGAGCAGGACATCACTGCAGCACACAGTACTTCTTGTAGTCAGATTCAAAGTCTTCATCCATGCTAGTGGTGTCTGCCATCTTTTTGCCCTCTGTTTTTGGCAGAAACTGTGAGTAGTCCACTCCCTGTTGCTCGTAGAACAGGATGTACGCTGAATCTGTGTCAATCTCGTCCGAGTGAACTTCCTGAAGAGACGACAAGAAACAGTTTGTTTTAAGTGTTGCGCAATACTTCTATAGTGTTGTCATGAAACCAGACTTGCAGTAGTCAACACTAATGCAAGAGTAATTTCAGGAATATGAATTTGTGAATACCACAGTACTTCTATTGAACACAATATTTTTATCCTTTTATTTTTATTTTTCAACAGTCAACACTAATTTTATTTTTAAATAAAATTTTTACCCTAATACTTATTTTTAAAACAATTTTATTTTTTTAATTTAATTTTACTTAAACCAAACCCTAATCGTAACCCTAACCATATATTAAGTACATGCAGTTAATTAATATTACTCAGTACTTACATGTATAATTACACTGTAACAAGGATACCTTAACATAACGTGTAACCGGAAATTTCCAGTGTTAATACCACAGTACTAATATTAAACACATTCTTTTTTATTTTATTTTATTATTTTTTCAATATTCAACACCAAATGCAAGAGAAATTTCAGGAATATAAATAAAATGTTGATACCACAGTACTTATATTAAACAAACTATTTAAATTTTATTTCCAATTTTAAATAACATCACAATAACATTTATTTTAATTCAATTAAATTTAATTTAATGTTGTGCTTGCCAAATTCAGATGGTAATTGCTACAACAGATACTGTAGAAAGGTTGTAGTGCCCAATTTGTTTGTTTTAGTATTGACTTGACAGTGAAGTACTGATAGATCTGATATCTCTACTTTGTTAAAGCATTTAAAAAAAAATCTTTGCAGATATAGGCCTACGTTTTGCAATAAGAATGCAAAATAATGGAAACGGAGATACAACGAGACATAACGAGATTCAAGATCTTACCTTGCAGCTGCTGTCATTGTAACAGTACCACTTTTCATTGGGGTTTTTGGCATAAGTCACATAGTGCCCCCCTCCCATTATTCCTGAATGGCACTGAAAGAAAAACAATAATAACAGTGTCAGAGAAGCTGCTTACAAATGCAATTACTACACAACAAATCATGTAGACAAGAATCACTTACTGAGATTGCATATAAATTGTACAGGGGCTCCAGGCAGATGTCATTTCTTTGGTGAGGGGTGTCCAGGTCTGCGCTGACCTCCGAGTGTCCATTACTCTGACTGCTGTCTTGTCCCAATCCATTCACCATGATCACATCGCAGTCATTGCTTGAGGCGTCCAGTGACCAGGTGTCTTGCGCGTTTGCATCAGATGTGATCTGATTCTCCCCGTCCGTCACTGTGCCCTGCTCTGGCTCAGTCTCGCTCTCCTTGCTGCTGCTACAGGCTTCCAGGTTTTCTTTGCTGTTGCAGAGTCGATGTCGACTGCCCAGCTGGGGAAGACGCAGGCGCCCCTGTTTCCGCCCTGTATTCCTGGGGCTGCTGTTTTTGCTCAGTGGGCTGCCAACCCTCCTGATGGAGCATGGGGTGCCTGAAACAACAATGCAACGATTAGAGAATCTCATATTGATTCAAAAGGTTTGTACAAAGAGAAGAGAGAGAGAGGCAGACCTCTGCCAGAGGTGGGAGGACTGGCCACAGTAGTAGTGGAGATGGAGGACACAGAGGAGTCTCCTCTCTCCAGTCTCTGGAGCTCCTCTACCAGGGATTCACTCTGCAGGCTGCCCATGCTTTGAGACACCTCCCGTGGGGCCAGGAACGCACTGGGGTCAAAGCTCTCACGTGGAAACTTCACAATTTTCTGAGACTTAATCCAGCGACCATTGACAAACTGGAAGCGTTTCAAATGAACAATCTGAAAAAGCACAGAAAAAATATTTCAGTCAAATGTAGCAAAGGGCAATTCGCAATGATGTACAATAATTCACGTTTTTGTAATAAATACACTCTAAAATTGTGATGTGGTCTTTCATGATTAAAGCACAAACCACTGCAATTTAAGAAAGAAAAATCTAATTAAAAAAAATTCTATATATTTATATAAAAAATTCTCTCTCTCTCTCTATATATATATATACACTGAACAGAATTATAAACGCAACACTTTTGTTTTTGCCCCAATTTTTCATGAGCTGAACTGAAAGATCTAAGACTTTTTCTATGTACACAAAAGGCCTATTTCTCTCAAATATTGTTCACAAATCTGTCTAAATCTGTGTTAGTGAGCACTTCTCCTTGGATGGATTATCTTGGCAAAGGAGAAGTGCTCACTAACACAGATTTAGACAGATTTGTGAACAATATTTGAGAGAAATAGGCCTTTTGTGTACATAGAAAAAGTCTTAGATCTTTGAGATCAGCTCATGAAAAATGGGGGCAAAAACAAAAGTGTTGCGTTTATAATTTTGTTCAGTGTATCGATCGGCCGCAGATCGGTATCGGCCGATAATCACATTTTATGACTCGATCGGTACTCACTACACTTGGCCGATCTTATGAACCGATTGCAATTTGATGACGTCAACGCGTGACAATGTACATTATGCCGCAGTCATGTCATCGCCGGTGTGGAAATGCTATGACATTTCGAGAAAC